TCTCTCTCTCTCTCTCTCTCTCTCTCTCTCTCTCTCTCTCTCTCTCTGCCACTATTGAAAGAGGCCTCCAGGAGATGTTTGAACAAAGGGAGGCAGCAAGGCCAAGTTAGGAACCACAGTGGAAAAAACAGAATTCTCAGTCAGGCAACGTGGCTCCTGGCTCGGGGCCCTACTGCTGCAAGCAGGACAGCACATTAGCTCTGAACATGGGCAGCATTGGGAAAATAGTGTGTGGTATCTTTTCCAAGTCTCAAGCCACAATAAAGCCCCAGGAGAAGCCATGTAGTCTAGGAACCATTTGGAAACAGGCTCTGTGAGCTTGCAAACAGAGTTTTGAAAGATGCTTGTAAAGTACAAACACACAACTGTCCAGAGCTTCCACTGTCTTGTGGCCTGTGGACTTCTGCTTCCTCCGTGTGTTGTTTCAGTAATTTATCTCTCAGTAGTTCCCCTTGACAGGGGTGGGAGGCATCGATGTGAGAACTGGAATATCTTCAGAGAAATGAACTTCAGGGGCTGGAGATGTAGCACAGGAGAGTATTCGCCTAGCGTTCACATTTACAAGGCCCTGTGTTCAAACCTCAGTTACGCATAAGCGGATTACAGTGGTCCACCCCATTCACTCCAATATTCCATTGGTGCAAACTGGAGAAACTCGAGATCATTTTCAGTTCCATAGGGAGTTCGAAGCCAGACTGAACAAGAGACCCTACAAAATCTCACTAGCAAACAGAGTGTATATAACAAAATGGTATCTCCAGAATTCAAATTGTCTTGGGCCCAGAAATTTTCCCTGCTAGTCCAGCTGAGTTACATGCACCCATTATATCAGGAGGGTCACGGGGAACCCTGAAAAGTAAAATAGGTGTGTACAGCAAAGGGCAGTGTCTGGCTTAAAACTCCACTGGGGGCATCTGGCCCTTTTAACACTGCTACAACCACTCTGAAGCATGAAGCATTCACTGTTTGTTTTCCTCCTGCAAGACCACCTGAGTCCCACTCAGCAGAGGTGAAGTCCAGAGTTTTGGCCTGCAATTCAAAATCCTCTCTAGAGAGACATACTTCCCGAACTACCTTTAAAATGCAATAAAAGCCAAACTGTGGAAGACACTAGAGAAAGAGACTGGTACCACTGACCAAAGAGCAAAACTTTGATTCTTTGGGAGCCAAGGCAGCAAACCCCGTGGGAACGGGTTCTTCACACTCTACATTCCTTTGCTGGTGCTTTTTTCCACCACCCTGGCTACGCCCCATTGGTCATCTGATTCCACATCCCTCCTTTAGAAAGGCCCCTGTCTCTGCCCTCTCGTCCTAGGGTACCCTGACCACCTTTCCTTCCATCTGCTCTAGTGTTTGTACGAATCTCTTGGTAGTCTAAACTACCACCCTGGCCAGGGTCATTGAGAAGGACCTGTCTCCCAGACACCACTCCTGCAAGGCCTTTCCTTCCTAAAACTGTCCTAAGCAAGATTGGACTGTCCTTCTAATCCTAGGACACAGAAACCCTGGGAAAGCTTCCCAGAGCCTTTTCTAGCTCTCCTTGTTACGCGGCCTTTGACCCTGTACCAAGCAAGCTGTAGAACTGTTCAAAATAAGTATATTTTCAAGCATTTTCTGAAAAAGAGACCAAATAAGAACTAGAGCAAACTTTAGGTACGACCACCAGAGACCCGCCTCGGGTGAAGAAGTCGCCTCTTCCCGCGCAACGGCGGCGGCCAGGAAGCCATCCGTAAGCAGGAATGGAGCGATTAAATCTCTGAGCTCCACGGATGGTGCAGAAAACCGGGAGCAATGCGGAGCACGGGATGCGAGAGTCCGGAGGGGATTTCCTCGAGCAAGAGGGGTGCAAGGGACACAGAGACTCTTGGGCCAGAGGCCAGCAGAAGACCATGCCTATGGCCAGGCGCGGCTAAGCACTGCGGGGTACGCGCGACTGCCACTGGCCAGAACCGACCCGACCTTCCCCACGCCCTCGCTCTGTCCACGTCCAGGTCACGGCAGGAGTCCACCCAAGGCCTGCAGACAGCCGCCCACCCGGGCCACTCCAGCCCAGCACACCCCGCGCCTGCGGCTGGAGACTTCTCCGTGGCGCGCAATCCCCAAGTGCAAGCGGCCAGGAGGACGCAGCCGTCACCCAGCGGACTCCAGGAGCAGAGCCCTCATCGCCGCCCCGGAGCCCGCGGGTCACCGCCTCGCCGCATGGGTTAGGGGGCCGGAACCAGCCCCGCACAGTCTTGTCCCGCGCGGCCGGCTCGGGCGATGCCGACACAAAGGGGACGCGCGCGTCACCCACCTGGTCCCGCGCGGTCCGGGCTCCCGCTCGGCCTCTTTGCGCGCGGTTGCGATGGCCCCGCCCGGTGACGGCTCGCGGGTGCCGCTGCCCCGTCAGCCTCCCGCGTGCAGCCCGCCCCGCAGCGCAGCGCCCTTTATGCCTCCCCGCCCTGCGCCCCGAGAACTGCGCGCGGGGTCGACGGGGCGCGAGCGCGCACTAAGCGCGGGCGCGGGAAGCCGAGCCAGTTTGCACGCCAGCGCCCCCTGCCGTTCAGAGGCGCCTCAACGTCCACGCACCAGGACCGGCCGAGCAGCCCCCAGCAATGCCAGAGGGCCCAGATGGGGTGCCTTTGGGGGGAAGTAAGGGTACAATGAGGCCTCCTGAAGTTGGATCACTGTTTTCAATACTAGAAGCGCAGGTACCAACTGCTAGAAAGAAATGCATGAAAAATCCCGACCCTACCAGTCAGCAGCTGGGAATATCACTTAGCTGGACAGATGGGACCGTCTATGTAAATTACGGCAAGCCTCTGGACTTGCCAGAACTTGTTCAGCGATCCTGCCTGTGAGTATTCTACCATAAATACTATGAAGAGAGTCATCTTTTCACCCTAACTTCTGATGATGCAAATTAATGGAAGAGTCCTCAACCTTCCGGGACCGGAGGCCGAGACTCTGTGCATACGTATAAAGCACAAGCCACAGCGTTTCATTTATTTCTCTTAGAGCCTAAGATCCACGAGTGGATGGGAATTCCCATAAGTTATTGTCTTGCAATCCCTCTAGTAGTTCCGGGAAGTTCATGTCAAACGGGTAAAAATGGGCAAAGCCTTTGAGTATGTATTATAGCAAGAATGAAATGTCCCCACAGGCATGTGTTCTGAACGCTTGGTCCCCATCTGGTAAAGATATTTCTGGGAGGTTCTGGGAATGTCAGGAGGTGAGAGCTAACTGAGGAAGGCCCTTGGGGAAATCCTAAACACACACACGCACACACACACATACACATCGTGCCTCTACTAAGACGTTCTGCTCAAGCACTTTGGACTTGAACTGTACCCTTTGGCTGGGGGGATGGAAAGCCTCCATTTGCTAACTCAACTTCTCTGGTTTTCTCCTAGAGAATTAAAACAGGATTAAAAATGCCCCATGCCATCTACCTTCTGCTGCTACATTCCCAGGTACATGTTTGTGTTTATACACGTGTACGTGGGTATGTGTACAAGCCAAAAGTCAATGCTGGAGTGTTCACCTCTTTTTCTCTACCTTATATTCTGAACCTAAACCCCCCAAAGTCAGCTAGACCTGTTGGCCAGAAAGCTCCAGGAGCCCTTCTGTCTCTATCCCAAGTCCCATTACCCAGTGCTAGAATGACAGGCATTCACCACACTTGTATTCTTACATGGATGCTGGTCACTAAACTCGGGTCCTCAGGCCTGCACGACAAGCACTTTAGAGACTGAGCTGTCTCCCTAGCCCCTCATTCCATACCATCTCCAGTTGCTGTGTTGAGTGTTTCTAATCTTCAAAGACATGCACTTGATGGATGTGGTGCCTCACACAAATAAGCCTAGTGTTCTGAGGGCTGAGCTAGGAGGATTGCAAAGTCAAGGCCAGCGTGGACTAGATAGTGAGAGCCTATGTCCAATAGGCAAAAGTCAAAACAAAACAAGGACACACGTGGCCTCCTAGAGCCTTGGCTTGCATCAGACTCTGTATAAATGCCATTGTTCAAGAAAGCGCACAGTGTGAAGAATCCTAACAACAGCACTTTGTTGCTTCGGCCTCTCACTGAAAGATAGAAATAGTTTTGCCTGAAGGCCTGAGCTTTGAGAGAAATGTTTTCAAACCTCCCCAGGCCTGGTTGAGGAGCAAAGTTGTGAATGAAGGATTGAGTGTCTGCTGGGGGAGGCGGGCTGGAAGCTCACAGCAAGTGGAAGCAGCTGTACTGAGATTCCCCGCGCTGTCAGTGACACAGAGGACTGGCAACACACTGCCTATGACTCTGCGGGGAGGTGGAAAACCCACCCTTATCAAACCACACAAATGACACCTCCCAGTGCTTATGTGCTAAACTGTGCGTCTTCATGCCCGTGACCTGATGAGTTGACTAATGCTAACTATGTCACTATTGCTGGAGAGATGGTCTGAGACCACTACACAGGCACTAACATTCGGATTTACAGCAGACCACACAGTGTATTTCCAGTTCCATCTACGAAGCCTGTCGAATCTGCCATTGCTTTCCACCCCTCCCGTATCTATTTACCTTGTTTTTATGTGGATTATGGTACACACCATGCTCCTGGTGTTGGGTATTTACTCTGTAGCTTAGATCACTGCTCTTCAGAGTGTGTTTCTGTGAGATCCCACACAGAGCCTAAGAGTAATAAGTGCTCAATAATGAATGAAGTTGACTCTTCCGAACCTCTCAACAGCTAATGCTAGTCTCTTCAGAAACCTGCCTGCTCTTAGAGCCATTCTATCCTGACAGGGCTCCTCAGTCCAGCTCTCGCCAGGGGAAGACTGACTAACTCCCTGCAAGGTGGTCACTGTGAGCCTGTTTGAAAGACCTTACTGTTAGAGTCTGTGCTGAGGATGCAACATTCCCTGTCTCTCACTGGGCATGCATCTTATGGTCACCCACGGGGGGCAGTGCATGCCGAGGGGAAGCGGGCCAGAGCAGCGGTACCCATGTAAATGCTCTGAGGCTGCAACAATGCAAAGACACGGTGAAGTTTTCTCCCTGATACAATTGGAAGCTTAGAGGTGTGGCTTACAGTTAAAGAAAAGAAGAAGAAGGAAAACAGACGATACGCTCTAAGTCTCGAATTCACATTTTTTCTTTTTTTTTTTTCCTCTTGAGAGACAGTCTAACTCTGTAGCCAGGATGCACTGGAACTCACAATCTCTAACCCAGGTTTCTCTCAAGTTCGTGAATCTCCTGCCTCAGCTTAATGTTGCTGTTTTTATTTAAATCCAATTCCATGTTTCTAGAGGAGAGTGGAAAGCTGAGTCTCTTTCCTCCTTCAGCTTCTCTTTAGGGAAACCCAGCATCCAGAGGGACTTTGTGTTTCTGGAGACATGGGATATAACCTCCTGCCCTTGGCCCATCTATTGCCTATTAATCTTAGTCTGGAAGTTATTTTAAAAAAACAAGGACACTTTCTGTGGTGTGCACTGTTTCAGGTGAGACGAGCAGTCTACTAGGGCACAACCTCAGGAAGGAAGAAAGTTGCCAATACTCTTAGGCCATCCATCATGGGTGGGGTTCCCACCCACACCCACACCCACATCTTCCACCCCAGAGACTTCCTCTTTCTCTGTTTTGAGATCTCAAGAAAGTCTACCAATGTCCAAATGTCAAAATGGAGGACATTCAATGAGGTACAAGTGAATTGACAGTTTCTCTGTTGTAGTTGTTTAGCCACACTGTGGTGTACTGATCTGTGTCTTCCCCAACCCTGAAGTTGGTGTAAAGTCCAACATGCTCAAAGAGGAGCATGTCGCAAAGAAGGTGATTGCAGATGGTATCAGTCAAGATGCAGTCCAAGTAGAATACCAAGTTCTCATCCATTATGACTATTCTCCTTAGGAGACAGGGAAATCAGGGCAGAGGTGTACACTTGTGCAGGGTTGGTAGCACTGTGAGTTTGGGATGGGCTGTCCTTCTGTAAACCAATACATATCAAAGATGAGGTGGGTAAACTACCAGAGGACTGGGAGAGCCTAGAGCAGGTGCTTGTTCACTGTCTCAATAGTCAGCCCCATCCACACCTGCTGCTCCTGCTCAGACATCCAGACCCATAGCAAACCATGTGTCAACTTGCCTGGGCTGTGGGATGCCCATGGAGCTGTGTCTCTGAGAACGCTGAGAGAATGGCCCTGGAACCAGTAGACTAGTTAAAGAAGACCCACCCATCCGAGGAGCATGGTCCAATGCACTGAAGGCAGAAAGAGAACAGAAGTTGAACAGAGGCAGTTTGCTCTTTGCTGACATGGATTTTTCTCCTGCCTCCCATATAGGAGTTCCTGGATCTTGATATTAAGACCCCAGAATCACTCTGCCTGTTCCCCGTTATCCATACAACTCCATCTTGATTCTCAGGCCTACAGGCTCAGACTGACTCTCGGCAGCAGCTTCTAAGGTAGAAATTCTCAACCTGTAAATGTGTCAAAGGATACTTCACAGGGATGGCCTATCAGATACCCTGCATATCAAATGTTTACATTATTACTCATAACAGTGACAAAACTACAGTTATGAAGTAGCAACTAAATAATTTTATGGTTTGGAGTCACCACAACATGAGGAAGTGTGTGAAAGGGTTACAGCATGAGGAGGAAGTTTGGGAAACAGTGTTCTAAGGTATCTTGCTTGCCTATAGATCATGGAAATCTTGTTCTTCATAATCACAAGAACTAATTCTAATGTACCCACTAGCTCTTGGGCTTCTAAAGGATATGCTTATATAGATTCATATAGACTTTTATTCTATAGTATATGAGTAGATAATGCACTGAATATTTTTCTAGTGGTTCTGCATCTACGGAGAACCCAGTCTAGCTAATAGACTTACCCTCCAAACTGTGAGACTGTGCATTTTGTACTTTTTAGATGCCAATTTTCCCAGCAGGTTAAGACAAGCACCCGGAGCATGCCCTATGTAAGTATAATTTAGGGAACAAGTGTGATAATAAAAATAAAAGTGTCATCCAAAGGCAGGGAAATAAATGACACTTGGTGAAAAAATTGGGTTGTTAGTAAAAAACAAGGCCTTTTTATTTCTGGTTTTCTTCCATACTAGAGACATGGTGTATCTTGCTCACTGCCATTCCCAACCCTGACAGAGAAAGTTGCAAACATTCAGTGCCTAACACTGCATAAAATGGCAAAGGAAGTCAGTTTGGGGCTGGGAACGTAGCTCAGTTGGTAGAGTGCTTGCCTAGTGTGCACAAATGCTCAGTCCTGTATAAACCAGATGTATCACCACATGCCTATAATCTCAGGACTTCGGAGGTGAAGGCAGATGGATTAGAAGTTCAAAGCTATCCTTGGTTAAATAGGCAGTGGGAGGCCAACTTAGGCTTCATGAGAGCCTTTTTAGAAA